AAAATGATGGGGACTATAATAGCTATTTCTACTCTAAAGAGATCTTGGAGTCCTTCTGGATAGTTCTCTGAAGACATTCACTCAATGTGCAGCAGCAGCAGTCAAAAAATAAAACATAATGTTAGGAATAATTAAAAAAGGGATAAAAAATGAGAGAGAATACCTTATTACCGCTGTATAAATCTATGGTACACCCACATATAAAATACTGCATGTGGATGTGGTTGCCTCATCTCAAAAAAGATATCTCGGTATGTGAAAAAAATTCAGAAAAGGGCAACAAAAATTATTAGGGGTTTGGAATGGCTGCCATATGAAGAGACATTAAAAATAGTAGGATTTATCAGTTTAGAAAAGAGGAGACAGACCGGGGCGATGGGGATATATGATAGAGATCTACAAAATCATGACTGGTGTGGAGAAAGTGAATAAGGAAGTTATTCACTTGTTCCTATAGCATAAGAACCAGGGTTCACCAAATGACATTAATAGCATGTTTAAAACAAACAGAAGGAAGCATTTCTTTATGCAACACACCGTCAACCTGTGGAACTCCTTGCCAGAGGATGTTGTGAATACCAGGACTTTAACAGGGTTCAGAAAAGAACTTGATAAATTCATGGAGGTTAGGTCCATCAATGTTTTTTAGCCAGGATGGGTAGGAATGGTGTCCTAGCCATTTTTGATCAGAGGTTGGGAATGGGTGATTGATGATGGGATCACTTGGTGATTACTGTTCTTTTCATTTCCTCTGGGGCACCTGGCATTGGCCACGGTTGGAAAACAGGATACTGAGCTAGATGGGCTTTTGGTCTGACCCAGTTATGACCATTCTTATGTTCTTAAATTAATAGGAGTAAAATATATGTATAATTTTATTTAAGCAACCAAATGTAACTATTAGCACCTTTTAGAGGAATTGTCAAGGAAGATAGATTCTTTTTCCACAGCCCCTTTTGCACTTGTTTAAGAATATCTGTTTAAAATCATAGCTTAAGTTAAGCTGATGCAATTCATTATGTAGGAAAGCCCTTGGATCAAGTTGGAGCATCCAGAGGAGAAGTCCTCTTCAGCCATGATCTTTCACTTCATATAAATGAACTTCATGGTTAAAGATTTCATTAATTCATTGTTGGTCACACCTGGTTATATGCATCAAACAGCTGAATGTTTTGAGTGTAGATTGGTAGTTCTCAAACAGTGGGTCATGACCACAGAGTAAATCCATGGTCACCAACCCGTTGATCGTGATCGACTGGCCTCGACCAGTTGATCGCGAGATGTTCAGGCACCCCTATTTCCCCCCACTCCCGAGAAGCCCCACTACCTACCTTTAGTGTAGTGTCGGCTTCCCGCGGGGGGGACAGAAGTCCTGTCTGAAGCCCGCGTCACTTCCAGGGGTTCTGGAAGAGCATGGGCTGCTCCCCTCCCACAGCTCTGTTGCATGCAGGGAGGGGGGTGGGAGGCGGGGCGTCTTCCCTGGAGGAGGAGTGCGGTGGATTCCCTGCGCCGCCGGCGCCGGAGGGGTGAGTTGAGCGCAGGGGTTTCCCTGCGCCACGGGAGCGGGAGTCGGCCCCGGGGTTTGGCCGTGCTGCGGGAGAGGAAGAGGTTGGCTGGGCCGGGCCGAGCCACGCTATGGGAGGGGGGTTTGGCCCTGGGGCAGGGGGCCGCGGGGGTTGGCCATGCTGCGGGAGGGAATGAGTGGGCGGGGGGTTGGCTAGG